ACTGGTGAGGCCACACCTCGAGTGCTGTGTCCAGTTCTGGGCCCTCAGTTTGGGAAGGACCTTGAGACGCTTGAGCACATCCAGAGGAGGCAACGAGGCTGGAGAGGGGCTGGGAACACAAACCCTGTGAGGAACGGCTGAGGGAGCTGGGGCTGTTTAGCCTGGAGAAAAGGAGACTCAGGGGTGCCCTTATCACTCTCTGCAACCCCCTGAAAGGTGGCTGTGGTCAGAGGGGTTTGGTCTCTTTCTCCAGGGAACAACTGACAGAACCAGAGGACAGTGTCTTAAACAGCACCAAGGGAAATATAGGTTGGATATCAGGAAAAAGTTTTTTATGGAAAGAGTGATAAAATTCTGGAATCGTCTGCCTGGGGAGATGGTGGAGTCACCATCCCTGGATGTGTTTAAGAAAAGACTGGATATGACACTCAATGCCATGGTTTAGTTGAGGAGTTAGGGCATGGTTGGACTTAATGATCTTGATGGTCTCTTCTAACCTAGTCACTCTCTGATTCTGTGATTCTGTGATAGTGAAAGTAGGAGTAAAAGGTATGCTTTTCAGTACTTATAGTTACATTTCTCTTTTTAAAAAAAAAAACACTCTTAGATCACCAGTGAATTACTTCACACTCATGTCTGCTTCATTCATCTTGCCATCTTTAGTTGTAGGCAAGAGAATATTAGATATTTGCAGGTGGAAGCTGTTTTCATGTGCAGTTAGTGGCACAGAAGAACTCTTGGATGCAGGTGAGTATAGTCTCCTAGGGAACTGAGTTGGAACTCATTGGAACTCAGAACTACATGGATAAGAGAAAAAGTATGACTATGAGGCGAGGGCATATCAAAGATATATTAGAAAATAATTCACAATAAAACCACTGTAATTGTAACTATGGAGAGGGCTAGTATTATCGTCAGCATACTTTGCCAAAATATTTTTTTCCAAATAATTTACAGAAGCAAGAGAGAAATGGCTCTCACTACACAGAAATTAAACATGCCAGAAAGCTATAGCAAGAACACATTTGGCAAAACTTTTCAAAATTGACTTGTTGACATTTAGTGTTAAATTTTGGGGGTTGAGATTCCTTTTCTGAAAAGAACATAGGATATGTAACCTCTCCCACTTCAAGAGCTGAAGACTGGGATCTTAACATTGAATAAAAGGTTTGGAAAGAGCTCTGTCTCAGAAAGTAGTGTCTTACCAATTAACTTGTATTATCTGGTCCTCTGCTGCCAGTGAAGTCCAATAGAAAACATTGTGTGATCTCTCACAAAGATAAATTGGACTCTAAATTGTTAGGAGTATTGGGAATATAAGGTTTATGATCACAGAGCAAAAAGAGGGTAGGAGGCACATAAGGACACATCTCTGAAGAAGACCTCTTGATCTCAGAAAAATCAATAGGCAAAAGGGACAGAAGATGCAGTTCAATCAATTTACGCTTTATGTGCTCTTCCAGAAGGTCAAATCCACATCAACCTGAAATCAGGTTTTCTTTCTAAAAGAATTGATACTTATTTTCATCAGTTTCCACTTTCAAATAATATATATACTACACTACAAATTGAGTTTCTTATTGAACACTTACTGTCTGCTTCCAGCAGCTGTCCTCTGCATCACGTAGGTCTCACAGAAAGTATTTTAGAAAAATTATACCATAATTGAAGTTTATGTTACATAAACTAGTACATTAAAAAAACAAACAAACAAACAAACAAAATCTCTGCCTAAAGGAGCATGCACATTTATTTTTTCCCAGCATAACTGAAAAATGGCCTTCTAAGTCTGAGTAAATTCTTAACATCAGATTACTCTACAAAATAAAAATAAAATAAACATTCTCTGTCATTTTCAAACTGGTCAAACTTTGTCGGTAGCAAACTGCAAGGTGGGTAATTTTTCAGGAATGCTTTCTGGAAGCTGGTACTGCTTCTATAAGCATGTAATTTCTATGTGAGATCTGCCCAGTGAAGAAAAGAACAGCATATTTAGGCATAAAAAGGCACAGCTACACATTTCTCTCTTGTTTGAATTTAAAAAATCATTTTTATTAACTAAAAAAACCCCAGGTTTAGTCAGAGGAAACCTGTAGTTGCTAAGATTACAAATTACAGTTATTATATATCCACACTTTCTATGAAAAAATGTTTCCAAAAACATTCCGTTCCATGGGAATTAATAAATAATAAACCACAACTTGTTTGTTTAAAATACAAGTAACCAATATAGACATGTTGCGCTGTTTATATATTAATTATAAAGTGAAGCTAGATTTATATAATTATATTTAAATGTCTCAATTGAAAACATGCTTTTTAGTTTGATTTACAAAGACCAAAGGGGCAAGTACTAGGAATCTTGCAAATATATACTATATATATAGTACTTATATTCTTTCAGTAAGTGACACAAGGAAGTAATTATTTATTTACTTAATAAGAGAATTTTCGCACTATCAATCCTATTTTTTCATAGAGCAGTATCAATAAAACATTTTTAGTTACTTTGTTGCAATTCGTTATCTCTAAACTAAATTATCATTGCCTGTAAAAAATTGTTTCCCTTTACTTTGCCACTAATTAATTCTTATCCCCTGCTTCAGTGGGTAGAATTTTTTTCTACTCTATCTAGATTACTTGTTCTCAGACTGTGATTTGTGAGCCATTAATGATCTGTGACCTCTGAGCCTCAAAATAAAATGATCTGTGAGAAAGAGCTATTTGGGTCTGGAGAGCTGGAGAGCATACTAAGTCTTTTTTCACTAACTATTGTGCAGAATGAAGAACCTGGAGAACCGCGAGTTTCAAAGATGCATATCTTAATTTTCCATTTTGGGGAAATAATCAGTTTTCCTCCTGGATTAGCATGACAATTCACATCTTTTTACTGCAAATATTGTGCAATATTCTGCTTGTGATGTTTGTTACATTTAGTGTATTCTCATTGAATTTTGTGTGCGTCTGGCTCGGAGTGATTAATGAAGACGTGTTAAAAAACCCAGTGTGTTGTTACTGGACTCAGTTTAAACTTATTTTCTGTACTGTAGGCAGGGCTAATTGGTAAGAATGTATTGTTATAAATAGAATAGAGATTGACTCTCTGTTTCACCCATCAGCCACTGAAAGTAAAATATTTTAAATTACTTGATTGCCATACTGCTTTGTACTACATTTTTGGTGGGTTTAGGGGTTCAGCAATTCTGTTTTCTTAACAGTTAACATTAAACATACCCTTTTTAACCAAAACAAATTATTGGGCCTTAGAATTTGATAAAAATATGGTTCTCCTATGTGCCATCTTACACAGAATTATTGCATATTTTAATATTCTAGACTGTGGCATTTTAAAATTAGGATTCCTCTGAATGAAATGTTTTGTATTTTTTTAGATTTTATGGATGAACTCTCCACAAAACCATTTTTTAAATGCCTGTGGACTCAATTTCATGATGTGCTTCTTCTCTGATGAACACTGATCTCAGAAGGAAGTTTTTTTCTCACAGTCCACTTAATAGTTGCTGATGCCCTTTCATTTATCAGTGTACAGAAATTATTTCTAAAAACCTACTTGTTTGTACTGAGCTATAACTATACATAATAAATACTAACATCAAAGCAGTAGTTTATAAGTTTGGGGACTAATGTAAAATATAGCAAATATTAAAATAATGTTCCACCTGTGTGGAATTACTGTTATGAAGTTATGGACTGTGAAAAGTGAGGATATAGGTCATACTTTAGGCTACTATAAATTGTTTTTTTCTACAGTGTATCTATGTTTATTAGCATTTCCCAATTATATGTCCTACTGAACTTGCCCATTATGGAAGAAGACATTAAATAGTCTACTACCAGAAGAGCAGTTCCTGTGGATGATAAATTTTTTGTGTTGGAAGTCAGCCATTGTATCTCCACATATTTTTAAAGCCTATGGTGATATACAGTCAGATTTGTAATAAATTTCAGTATTAAATGTATTAAATGATAACATGTTTTTCACTGCAGGTGAAGTGTGATCAATACTGGCCAAGCAGAGGCACAGAAACTTATGGACTAATCCAAGTCACCCTTTTAGACACTGTTGAATTGGCAACGTACTGTGTTCGTACATTTGCACTTCACAAGGTATACATACTTATATATAATTACTATATGCTTTTAAATTGAAAGGCTGGCAGTTTTTTCTCTCACCTCCCATTCCTCCTTCCTTTCTCTCACTGGCCTCCCTCCTGTCACCTTGTCCTCCTTCTTCCTTTTACTTCCTGCCTTACCTGTGCTCCTTTTTCCCTTACTTCCTTTTTCCCTTTCTCCCCTTCTCCTCCTTTCTAGCCTTACCCTTGTTTCCTTCTAACAGTGCTGAATACTGAGACTTCTACAGAGTACATGTTCCTGATAATAAGAAGTTTTGTAAGTTAGTGCAGAGCTCTCACCATGAAAATGCTGAATACTTGTGGTGCACAAGTGTACAGTATATTTAAAGATCTTACATTGTTTGAATCTGTAATTAGGATTTTCCTCCATAGTTCTTTTTCTTGCTGGCCCCGAATATTTAATCAGTTTTCACTGGTATATATGCTTTAGCAGTTGTTTTACTGAAAAGTGCTGATATAATCTCAAGTAGCAGTTTTGTCATGAAACTTTTAAATTTCATAGAATGGCTCAAGTGAGAAAAGGGAAGTGAGGCAATTCCAGTTCACTGCCTGGCCTGACCATGGTGTCCCAGAACACCCAACACCATTCTTGGCTTTCCTGCGACGAGTCAAGACTTGCAACCCACCTGATGCTGGACCTATGGTTGTGCATTGCAGGTAAGACCAGAAGCTTCTTCAGAGCTTGGTATGTCAAGGTTCCTGCTTTCTGTTTTGCTGCAGATGAAAATATGATTTTCTTTCCAATAGACTTCTGAGTCTGTCAAAGAAAAAGGCGGTTGCATTGCAAATTAAGTATGGCACTGCCAGCTTGGGTAGGCTAGAATTATTTTATTTGGTCTATGCACAATTAATTTAATTTTAGTACGTCAAAAGATCTCCAGGAAGAATGTCTGCAGGGAGAATACAAATGTATCTGTGGCATTCAGAATGTGGCATGAAAAAGGAAGAGGATGGTATTGGTTTAAGAGCCTAAGTATTGAAAAAAGTATGTTTTAAGCAATTAAACACTTTCTGAAATTTTTACTTAATTTATATTGTGTGAGAAAGTAGTAAACATGGGAATTAAGATTGATAAATTCAGTTAAGACCAGAATCTGTATTCAAAGTTGAATCCCCAGTTTAGGACTTTGAGGAGCTGAAAATGCAAAGGATGTAACTGGGGAACAAGCTGAACCCAGTTCCAGGGAAATTAGTTCTCCATGCTTTTTTGCAAAGTAGCACACCTCTTCAGGCATTGTAAGGTATGAATTAGTAACAATGGAAGAAAAAAAGTCAGCTGTTTTTTGTGTGGTGGGACTAAGGAAAATGAAGAGGAAAAGATACAGCTTCTTTGGAATTTGCTGAACAGATCTTTGAGAAAGCCTTAAAATCATGTTGATAAGGACTTTATCAGAACATATATACCAATTCTGATTGAAGTGAACTCCAAGATGTGTTCCCTCATTCCAGGGCTATATTTTCATACATTGTATAGCTTGCTATGTAGCCCTTTTCAAAGCAAGTTCCGAAGATCACTATTTCTTGTGAACTTCAGTTTGGAATACCTTCAGTTAGTAAGGCTGAGAGCTGCTATATATGGATCTCTGCAGTTACAGATGCTTAGCATATTTGAAAACCAGTTCACCCAAAACCTGAGGAATAGTAATTACAGCATACTGCCATGTCTAGTTCTGACTTCTTATATTGGCAACCCATCCATGGACTCTGATAATTTAAACACTTTTAAAGTGATTGAAAGAGTCTCCTGTAAACAATATAATAAAAATAAATTCAACAGGAAAACAAAATAAGCAGAACTTAAATGTTGAAAGGCACAGACTGTTTACAAAATACCAGAGAACATGGAACACAGATATTAAATGTTTATTTAAACACCAGGATTAAAAATGTGGAATAATTATAAATAACAACACAAATATACTCATAAAGCTTGCTGAGTGTTTCTTGAATGGAAAGGCATATTTTTGTGCTTGCATTTACAGGGTCTTAAAACATTTTGGTTATTGTTTAGGATTTTAGATTTCCTCAGATACAACTTCTTTAGCTTCATCCATATATAGCATACTCCAAAGTTGCTCAACAGTGAAGACGCTGTATGCTACCTCAAAACCAAACTTAATAGAAGAAATTAATTTTCCCACTCTGGAAAATCTCTTCATATAATAGCCTAAATTACCACTATGGAAAAATAGGCAAATTAAATCAGTTTTTATGGCTAGTCATTGGAAAAGATGAAATAAAATGCATTGCTTGTTATCACTGAGTGGTACTGATGAAGCACAAGGCAATTATTTTCCCTTTGTCATTAGTTTTGCATGCAGATTTCATTAAAAGTGGTGGTCAAGTTAGGTAGCATGATTTTATGCCCAAGGGACTTTTTTAATCCCAAATTCCTATTGATTTATATATCAATAATTTATCTGCAGTAAGCATAATCTGCTATATATAAGCTTTTTGCCTTATATATGCTTACTAGAGACATTAGGATTTCAGTCACTTCATACAACCTAACCTCTAAAAGACAGAATTTCACATGTCCTATTATTTTAGTAAGGTTTTTAAACTTGACTCCTAACAATTTGTCTATGAACAGAATTAATGTAACCAGGTTTCTGAAAAAATATAAGGTATGTCTGTATAATTAAAACAGGCTGGACATTTAGCATCAAGTGTTCTGGACAGTCCAAAGTTTATAAATCTGCTAATTAACTCCTCCATGTAATGTGTTGACTATCCAACTAATAGACTAATGAAGTAACTAAAGTGTTTCTCACTACAGTCATGTTAAGGTGTCACTTTTCAGGCATTCTGTAGCAACATAATAATCAGGGATTTGTATTGCCTTATCATTTTACGTTCAACATGATTTTGTTGGGCCCGTCTTGTGCAGGGACAGGAGTCAGATTTCAGTAATCCTTGTGGGTCCCTTCCAACTCAGGTTATTCTGTGATTCTATGATTATTAAATTGGTTCAAAAAATCAAAAGAGGAAGAGCTATAGAGCATCGCCACAGTATTTGTAGGCTAAAGGATATGTCTTTCATACAGCAATATGAAAATTCTTCCTATTTGGTTTGAAGTACCGGACATGCATTAACATTTCATTTCACATTATAAAAAATGAATTTAAAACGGTTAAGTACAAACTCTGTACATTACCCAGTTTTTAATTAGAATCTGCTTTCCATTTTTTTCCTTCTCTTCTCTGTTGCTCACTTTGTAAGTTTCTCCATTCCAATCTTTCCTTTGGCTATTCTAAGTCATTTAACACTTTTATCAATTTTTTCTCTCCACATCTGCACTGATCCTTATTCTCTGGACCCTTCTGAGTATATTCTAGTTGTGTCCTTCAATTCCATTATTTTATCAAACTTATTTCATTGTTGATATCACATTGCTGAACCATTTAATGAAATATGTTCCTACCTCTCTTAGTATTTTCTCTGAAGTAAGATTGTAATTCTAACAGTAATTATCATTCTAATTTTCGCCAAGCATTTTCTTTTACTGCCCTCTACTAGTTGCTGTTTTCCATTGAGATATTTTTCTGTTCTTGAAAAATGTCTTGATTTTCATTGATTCCTTTCCTGGCCCCTAGTCTGCCTCTGCATCCTTTTTAATATTCCTCTTGTCCTTGTTCTGTATCTTGTCTGTTATTGTCTCCCATTTTGTGTTTAGGTCTACCTAAATCCCTTTTCATAAAATTCCCCCTTTTCATCATCCAGATTTAAAAAGTACTTAAGATTTTTCTAACTAGAGCCAAACAATACAATACAGAACCATATCTTATATCCTTTGCCTATGGTAGACAGTCTTTTTAACAATATCTCATTGAAGGAGTAATCTGAGTTTAGTTTCTAGAAGGAACACAGGATTTATAGTGGCAATTTTAAGCCATCTGAGACAACACTAATACCTTCTTTTATATTTCTTCCACTAACTACCAAACTATCAGAGCTCAGGAAATTCTAATAATCACATTACAGAAGTATAAACAGAATGGGAGCTTCCTTTCAAAATGTGTTTGATAAAAAGAAAGAGTAGGCTTGAAGAATCGGTGGAAGTCTTTTTCTGCAAACTTTTAAACCATAGAAACTGAAAAACAAAGCTATTGACAGTACAGGGAGAATTTATTTCTCACCCTGTGTGGGTGAGGAACACAAGAGCCACCTGTCTGTGTTTTGATGCTTACAGAGTAACCCCCTGTTTATTCTGTATTTATCGGTATGTATTGCAAGTGAAAGGTTTAGCCTAGGATTTTCCTTACTCCATTCCTACCCATCTGCCTTAATAATGACCAGCAGTTGTCTTTCAGTCCATTTCATGTTAAGGGATTAAATGGTTTTCTAGTTTGCTCCATGGTTTTGGGGTACAGCTAAATGTCCAATAGAGAATCAAGGTAGATGGAGACCCAGTTGATGAGTGACCCCAGACAAGCTTGTATCAAAGCCTCATTTGTTGGTTAGCTATTTTAATATCCTGTCCCTAGGAAATTGTTTTTGAATGTGTGAAGAGTTTATTTAACAATTACAGAGCGCTTAATGGGAAGAAGTCTGAGCTGAAAACACCTGATTACTGAAGTACCCACCCAGTACATAATTGAATACCCTCTTTTCACATAACAGCCACCAAAAAAACAAAGTTCTATCTAGTGAAATTAACTGAGAATGTACATACTACCATTCTACATTACTAAACTTGATGATTTCTGATAAATGTATGTCAAAGATATGCAAATGGAAATATTTTGAATAATATTTGTGTGCTAACAGCAAAGAAATACAGAATTATATAATCAGAATTTCCAAAACATTGGTAATTATTTATTACTAATGTGTATACAACAGGCATCTTTGCTTGTCATTTAGACATCTGCTTTTGATAACAGTTTGATTGCCTGTCCAGTATTGAACTTGAATCTAGTATTGAAGTCAAAAACATGTTGAGAATTCCATGGACATTCTACCAGTCAAAGCCCTACTTGTTGCTCTGGTTTAACCTCTGCCAGCAGCCAAGCCCCACACAGCTGCTTACTCACTCCCATAACAGAGGGATTGGGAAGAGAATCAAAAGAGTAAAAGCTGGAAAACTTACGGGCTGAGATAAAAGCAGTTTAGTAGGGAAAGAAAATGCTGCACACACAAGCAAAGCAAAACAAGGAATTCAGTCATTTATTCAGTGCTTCCCATGAGCAGGCAGGTGTTCAGCCATCTCCAGGAGAGCATCACTCATAATGATGACTTGGGAAAACAAATGCCATCAATCCAAAAGTCTCTCCCTTCATTCTTCTTCACCCCTCTTTATATGTTAAGCACGATGCCATAAGGTCTAGAACATCCCTTTTGATCAGTTTGAGTTACCTGTGTCTCCTCCCAACCTTCCATGCACACCCACCTTCCCTGAGCTCCTGCACCACACACTGAAACAGAGACAAGAAGTCTGGAAAGAAAATAAGTTGTAGTCCAGCCAAAACCAGCACACTTGTGCAGAAAAGTTGGCAGGATTTTTACTGGAAACGGTAGCTAAAACATATTCACAAAATTAACAGATATGTTAATTTTAAGGGAAAAAAGATCATTCTTTCAGCAATAGATCATTGCTGAAAGAATTATGGAACACCAAGGGAAACATCAAGGCCTAATCTAAATGCAGATTTTT